GAACAGGCTGAGATACATAGATAGATAGGGAACAGGCTGTCATAAACAGATGGATAGATAGATAAGTAGATAATGAATAGGCCGAGTTAAATAGATAGATAGTAAACAAGCTGACATAGATAGATAGATAGATAGATAGTGAACAGGCTGACATACAGAGATAGGGAACAGGCTGTAATAAATAGATGGATGGATAAATAGATAATGAATAGATTCAGATAAATAGATAAGTGAACAAACTGACATAGATAGCTAGCTAGATAGATAGTGAACATGCTGAGAAAAATAGATACATAAATAGATACATAATAAATAGGCTTAGATAGATAAATAGATAGTAAACAGACTTAGATAGATAGATAGCGCATATAAGGCTGAGAATAATAAATAAATAGATAGCAAAAAGTTCTCGATACAACATAGAGCAAAGTATAATAATATTTTGATTATAAAATATTTTAAATCGCTACATAAATATTTCTATGTTTAGGAACTTAAAAACTATTCCATCATCAGGCGGTGTTGGTTAACTTATGGTGAAAACGATTAGAGCAAAAGTTTCTCGCTTTTATTGAGAAACATTTCCGAGTAATAATCCTCTAAGCAAGAATTTCAGTAAAATACTCTTAAATTAACTTACAGTGGTACTGATAATCTAGAAAAAATTATTAAAAAACATAATAATAAAATTTTAAATAAACACTTGAACTTAAAGATTAATATTATTTCCAAAGCAGAAATCAATAATATTGACAATGAATTACGTAATTGTAGAAATCCCATAAATTGTCCATTGCAAAATAAATGTCTTACTGAATCTATTGTTTACCAATGCACCATTTCATCTACTGAAAACTCGGCTGTTAAGAAATTCTATATTGGTAGCACAAAAAAAACCCTTAGATAGATAGTGAACAGAGTGAGACAAATAGATGGATATTGTGAATTTGCTGAGATAGATAGGGAACAGGCTAAGATAGATAGATAGATAGATAGATAGATAGATAAGGAACAGGCTGAGACATATATATATATATATATATATAGAGAGAGAGAGAGATAAAGAGATACTTATTGTGAGGCGGCTGAGAGAGTGAGCAGGCTGAGATAATTAAATAAATTGATATTGACCAGAGTGAGGTAAATGGATAGATAGTGAGCAGACTGGGTTAAATAGATAGATCTTGATCAGGTTGAGATAGATAGATAGATAATGAACAGACTGAAATATATATATATATATATATATATATATATATATAGTTTATGAAAAACTAGGTAATCCGTATGGGTAGACCCATACCCATCTAGAAACAGTCACGAGTTAAATTCATGAACAAAATTCAAACGGATAGAGATGTCAACTTAATAATCAATAATATTTTTTTTTTTAAATGAAAAAGATTACTAGAAGTAAACTTATATTTTAAAATGAAATTTTATTCTTTTAATGTACTTTCTATGAATATTTTTTCTAATCGACTATTTCATAGAAAATCCCCAAAATTTTTAAAAGTTTAAATCACGAACATCAAATTAAATTTTTGTAGACAGTTTAGACATTCAAATTTATATCAAACATTATAATCTTTATGAACCCCCAAAATAATACTTTCAAAGTAAAACAAAATGACAGCGTCTTTTTCGAGCCTTTTCGAGCCTGTTCTTTCCAAAGAAAATTAGTGACACCTTCTCTCATGACTTCCTTCTCTTTTTTCTTGTTATGTCTTTTTTTCTCCTCTACCCCTTCTATATCAATATATAACGTCTGTTAAGTTAACCGTTTAAATGTGTCAATGTCTGAACCTCCTCAACTAATTTTAAGTATGAAAGAATAGAAATATTAAATTACATCTAATTCACTCATGTCTTCTCTCTCCCCCCTCACTTCCTCACTTCGTTAATTTACATATGCTTAATACGGCCCGTCAAAAATGTGTAAATTTCTTTTCATTTTTCGTTTCAACCTTTGGAAGTAAAGTCTGATGATCTGCAGTCCTTTAAAAGGGCTGTGATGAAATAATTTATTACATGGAACCTTAAAGTGGTCTGTTTTTATTTAAATTTTTATTTAAATTATATATATATATATATATATATATATATATATATATATATAAGTTGCCAAAAACGGTATTCAAGAGTCAAGATTGGGCAGTTCTTCCACAAAACCGTTATTCTCCTGATTCAGCACTTTTACATTTATTACCCTTTTCGCTCGCTTTCCAAAAGTTTGCAAGGAGATTCGTCCAACAACGACGTGAAGTTGAAAACCTGATCCGATGAAATCTTCGAGCCGGTGGAGCCGGTGAGCCGGTGAGCCGGTGATTTCTACCGTCAAGTCATTGGCAAGCTAGTGAACAATGAAGAAGACAGTTTATTATTTTGATTGATTTCTGAAAAAATTGTTCATATTTAAAATAAATTGAAATAAACCAACGCATTTGTTTTACAACCCAACAACAACTCTTTGACGGAGATATTCAGAAAGCTACTTGACTAATCGTGAAAATTTGGCTGCCCACTTATTTCGATTTTGTTACCTGTTCAATCTGTCCGCAGATTGAATAGACAGTCAAATACATTGTTAGCCGCAAACGATATTTGTCTTTCATTAATTAGTATATATTGACTGAATAACCATTTTTACTAATAATGTCTGACCTCATTGCTCTTGTTGAAGTTCACTGCATTCACTTACGCAAAAATAACTTTGTGAAAGTCCATCTCTTTTCCAGGTATAAATTAAATAGTAGGACTTGTATCTGGGAATGTGTTATCTGCACAGATACGCGCGGACAAACTGCAATATTCACTAGGTAGAAAAAGAATTATTTTAAAATCCAAAATAATATAAATAACCTTCAAAAGGTTGATAAGCCGTTAAAAACAAATCAATCCTGACGGGTTTTATTATATATTCAAAAATAATAATAACATAATTAATCTCTTACTGCATAAAGTTTCCTTATAATTGTGGCTCTTTTTTGTCTAATCTATCTTGCAGGCTAATGATAATATAAGGGCTGGCTGATTTCAAATTTTAGGTAATCGCCTCTCTAAGAAATTGGACGCCATGCACTAATTGTAATTAAATAGTTTCAGCATCCTGGTTTAGTTGACGTTAATTAAACAAAAAAGTTATGAAATTTACATCCAGAGTGAACAATGAAGAAAAAATAAAAGCTGACCAATTCCATTTCTAGTGTATCCACTCATTCTTTCAAATTAGTAAAGAAAAAAAAAATCATCCGAAACTATTTCAACCAATAGGCCACCACAAGCAACAAAAATCTTTTGCTGAAATTTTTAACTTAAACATTTTAAATGAAATATAATGGATTCGACTGGAAAGTCAGTCAGTCAGTTATGTGCCATGCATGATACACACTTAGGGGATCATGTATCTTTCGATACATGACTGACGAGGCAGATTTTTTCCCCCGCAGGAGGTTGCCAATTCTTTCTGCGGTAGACCAGTTGCCATCCAAAGCTACAGAACCCTGTTGGTCCTGCTCTTTACCCATAGCTGAGGCGGGGGAGAAGAGTATTCAAGGGTATTAGTACGTAAGTGAATATAATGGATTCGGCTGGAATTCGAACTCCGATGTCTCAATCCAAGCCGCTATCCATTACATGTTACAAAACCGAAATATTGACCTATGACATCGAGTCATGATTTTTGATAATTTCGTCAGATCGAGGCTCTCGTAAGGATATCATGCATGGCGACCAACTGTTCAGAAATGTCTAAGCTATCAATTGCATAAAACCGTTTCCTCAGATCAATGATTAAAAATGGCTTCCTGGTTTTAAAGAAGATAATATTTCATCAGATCTTAGAGACTGGTGCTACAGAATCACAAATTATAAATTTTAAATCAAAATTTGTTTAGCATGCTATGAAGTTGCTATGAGTTAATACAACAAGAAGAGTGATGTTTTCGCTTTCACATTATTGGACACAATCCGAAGCTGTATTCTACCCGTGACTCCGAATTATGTCAAAGTGTTGGAAATGATATTCATTTTTGACGGATGAACCCAATTATATTTATCTGACTGTAAATCACAGTATAATGTTTTTTTTTTTTTTTTTCATTTTGACCAAGAAACGTCAGCTCATACGCAAACAATCGAAAGTACCTGGCGGAACGCCAAAACGAATAATAGGTTCATGTTCGGTACTCATCACAGAATAATAGGCACTTGTTGGCGTGAGTTTCTTTGAAGACAGAAGGGAAAAAAAATAACAATGAATGCATTTTTGAAGAAATTTAAAATGACATTTGTGAATTTTGGTATGAATTTTAGTAAATATATATTTTTATTTTTGGATAAGTTAACAGAAAAAGTCCCAAGAAAAGTGGACTTAAGAGGAATATTTCGCTAAAAAAAAAAAAAAAAGAAAAGAAAATCTGCTTTTAAAGGAAAGATTTTATCAATTTTATCCGACAGTAAATGTTTGGTCAATGAATGTCGGATGTTTCCTCTGGGGAAACGGTTAACATCACCATTATTATTAGCAAGTGGTTTCCCCGTGACGTCATGTTGAAAATAAAGCAAAATTAATTTGGTAATTTTTATATTAACTGTTTGAGGAAAATAGGACTTCAGAAAGAAAAGAAAAAATTCTGTGGGCTTTTTTTTTTCTTTTTTTTTTTTAGTCTCTTTACAAAAGATATTAAATTAAGCAATTTTCTTTGAACTTGGAATCCGGATTAAACCAAATTTAGTTTGTTTACATTCACTTGTGTCTGTTTCATTGAATAAACTGCTGGATTAATCTTCGAATGGAGGAAGATTACAGGTTAATAATAAACCCCCGTTAATCCTTTAAAAGTATCACCAATGAAATGCTGGAGTTCGTGAAATTTCTCGATCTTTTCTTAACTACAAGTTCTTGCTCAAACCACGTGTGGAAGGGTGGGGGTGGGATTAAATCCAATGATATTAACCGCGTTGATGAAAAAGGCTTTGAACCAATGAACAGTACGTAAATGAGGCACAAGAGCTTGTGTCGGGTGAGGGGAAGGGATAGTCATGCATTATTATTATTATTATTATTATTATCCGCTCTTTTTCTTCTTCTGTTTGTCCCTCCTCTATTCTAGTTTCTTTTCTCTCTTCTTCTCCCTTATCTCTTTTTCTTCTTCCTAACTTCTTTTCTCATTGTTCTTTTCATCTTCCTTTTCCTCCCTCTCTTTTTCCTCTCGTTCCTTTTTTCCTTCTGTTTCCTCACCTTCTTTCTTTTCTTTTCTCAGTTTCCTCTCTTTTTTCTGTTTCCTCTTCCTCCTTCTTTTTCCCTTTTTTCTTCTCCCTTTCTCTCCTGTTCTTTTTTCTCCTCCTCTCTTTTTCCTCACTTCTTTTCTTTTTCCTCTCCTCCCTCCCTCCTCTCCATCCCCTTTCCTTCCTTCCTGATTCTTTTTTCCTCTCCTCTTTTCTCTCTGTCTTTATTAAACAAATATCCGAGTACACACACACACACACACACACACACACACACACACACACACACACACACACATATATATATATATATATATATATATATATATATATATATATATATAAACTCAACATAAAAGTTGTTACTATTACATCCAAAACAATAAAAGACTTAGTCAATACTAAACAAGACTATAAGCTATAACCTGAAGGAGGAGTTTACCTCATCGCCTGGAATATTTGTCACAAAAAGTATATAGGAGAAACATCAAGGAATCTAAATAAAAAGAATTATATGAACATAAAAGGGACATTTTACAAAATAATACATCAAATGCGTTGGTAGCCCATCAGAACGAGAGAGAGAGAGAAGAGAGAGAGAGTAAAAGAGAGTAAAACTGAATTTTGGTGATAGTGGGCGATGAATGAAACAATTGTATTTTAGTGTCGACCGCGTCCAAAAGTCGTTTACATCAATCGGCTTTTAGCTTTCTTTATCTCTGCCCACAACCATTATCATTAGTCCAGACCCCCCCCCCCGTTAAATAATTTTTTCATTCTCTTGACTAACAAGCTAAATATTTTTGGCGACAGGGAAAAGAAAATGAAGGAATTTTGTATTTCTTTTAATGTAAGCTCAGCACCAGATTAATATTGAGTTCTCACAATTCCACTGTTAAAATTGCTAACGGTAACCGTAAAGTTCTGTTTCTTCAGCTGTACTTTTCTTCCGAGTTCTTGTCTTCCTGTCAACTACGTTCTTCAAAAAATTCTTCATCTGTCTCCTTGAATGCTGTTCTTTTATTGTCCTCTTTGTTTCTTTCACTTTCAGTAACCTCTTGCATCTTAGTGGATTTATTACCTTGATTGAGGTGAAATGATAAAAAAAATATTTAAGTCTTTAAAATAAATGAAAATATATTGTCAATGGTCAGGAATTGATGCAAGCGCTACTGACAGTATAAAGCTACCATATGTATAATATCTGATATTACTATTGGAATGCATTGGAAATGAGAAATGTGGTTATTGATTGACTCGTTTTTCACGGCTTATCAACCATTTTCAGGTTATTTAAACCTTTCGAGTCCTCTGAGACATATGTTTCCCACATATGTTTTCAACACGTCCCGCGGGAGATAACTGTCGCAAAAAAGCATTGAAATGGGAAAAAAAGCGGACATAGTGAGTATTTATCAATTCACCCACAGGAATTGAATGTGGCACAAGGCCTAAAGCGGACATAGTGTCTCACTGATACATTAAAATAATGCATTCAATTATATTCAATAATACTAGTGAAAGTCATTTAGATATGTCTACTGAAACGAACAATATTTTTTGCAGTATACATCAATTACGCGAATGTGGACTTGAAAGGAATAAAACCAGGAAGTATTTGCAGATTGTAAACATTTTTTTTTGAGATAATAATGTTTTAGAGAGACAAGTTTTACTAATTAACCCATCGCTGGGGGAGAAGAGGTACATTCATATCTTTCCCACCAGTATTTGCGCTTAAGTGAATATAACAAACCTGCGAATTTTGTATTTCCGATTAACAATACCGAGCCATTATCCACCGCTCGCATATCCAGGCTTAGAGCACCTACTATTCCCAAGTGGTCACCTATTTGACTCAATGTTGCTTACTTCGGTGATCGTAACAGAACTGATGTTAAGCAACGTGATGTAACCGTAGGACTGCCAGTTGTTAGAAATAGCGGCGGTTGGATTATATTTTAAATTAAAAAAAAAATCTTGTTTAGTAATTTTGATTGCTACTAGAATTACTGGAATTCTACTAGTGCTACTGGTACCGTGTAACCTAGTGCTACCTGTCCTAAAGCCATTCCTAGAGCAGGCTTTTCTGGTGTGGAGGGTGGCCAGATAGCCAGCAGAATTAAAAAAAAAAAAAGGAAAAGAAACAAAGCCTGTCTAGCACAATATGGTAGAGTGGGGCTTCATAGCAGTGGATGCGGCCAGTGCGGCAATGGCTCAGCATCACTGGACGGAAGGCTTCCTAGACTAAAGTAAACAGACAGGGTGGTGGGTTCTGCCAATTAAATCAACGACCACATGACCGTGACCGTGACCAAGGCGAGCCTTCGAATTGGAGGACATCTGTGGTTTGGCCTGGAGAAGGTTGGTTCTCCGCATGGATTAATATCTATCCGGCTTTGTGCCCAGGTATGTGGCGGGAATTGGCCAGGTACTGAGGCGGTCAGCGACCACACAAGAACGTCTGGTCATGAGACTAATGATGATGAATTTTAGCTCTGTTATGATTATCTTGTTTCGTAGTCGTAATACTTTTCGAATAGAATAGAAGTTATTGATAAGTTTTGTTACACTGCTAATATTGCCATATTCGCTCTTAGAAAAATTTATTCTTTACAGATACACTATTTACATTATTCGGACTCTTGTTCTCATCTTTGTTGCCATATTTATTACAACGTTTCGGCCCTTTGTACGCTCCGGCCTTACTTAGTATCTGTCTATATTTCTGAGATGAGCTATTATGTACACTATTTACATTAGTCGGACTATTGTCCCCATCTTTGTCGCCATATTGTGAAAAGCGGATATTATTATTATTATTTTTAAATTCTTTGGTGCATAATTAAACATGATTACGGGAATAAACATGGGATTTAATTACGCAGTGTCAGGGTGAGCCGTGATGAGGTATTGTAACTATTTACATTGTTCGGGCTATTGTCCCCATCTTTATTGTCGTATTCAGGAATTCGGCCGTCTTCAGGTGATATACGTTGGAATAAACGAAACTGAGATATCCAGAAGAGGCATGGCATGCGGAACTAGAACAATCTACGCCGGTGAATGAAATAAACGGTTGGATCCGGCCTTCTTCAGGTGATATACCTTGGGATTTCGAACCGAACCCTTTATTTCGTCCACCGGGGTCGATTATTCTAGTTCCACATGTCATGCCTCTTCTGGATATCTCAGTTTCAGTTATCCCAATGTATGTCACTTGAAGACGGCCGGAGCCTACAACTGCCGAAACGTCGTGAATATGACAATAAAGATGGCGACAATAGTCCGAACAATGTAAATAGTGTAAATGTCCATTATATCAGAACAATGTTGGGTAATTGTTGAAGCTTGAATAAGCATGGAATAATAATAATACAACACAAAATGTACGTAACAAAATGTATTGAAACAATGAAAAAAGGTATACAATATTTACAGGTAGTTTTGGTATATTCTTGGGAAGACTGTTCCTGCAGAATGGGTTGACTAAGTCGCAGTCGGGCAGAGTCTCTGGATTCGATCTCTTAATCTTCCGTCGTCTTCCGGTACCAACCCATATTTATATGGTCGGTACTCCACTTATGTAAATTAGGTGTATCATACACAACAGTAATTGAATGGCAAAATCGAAAAATTCTTTGTAACACATTTCGTCCTTTTAAACAGACTTCTTTATAACGTCGGTAGATTAGTAAGCATCAAGAAGGGCCGATCACATCCAATTTCCAACACTTTCCTATTTTTTTTATCGCTGTTATATTTAAATATCCCACACTGCTACACAGAAGATTTGTTTAAAAAAATAAATGTAAGAACCTGGACGTAAATTTATCGCGGAATGTTTACAAATCAGTGCACTTTCGATACATTTTCTTCTTCGCAAATTACTTTATCTTTTAGTAAAAGCAAAATTTTTTAACTCGAAATTATGGCCAGATTTATTAAAATGAGCAACTGAGCGTGTTGCTTTGTAAAAGATTTCTTTTGTGTACATATAATCCTTTATTTAAATTCCTCAAAGTTTCTTTGATGTTTATTTTCGGACGATTATTCTAGGCTGTAGTGTAAATTGCGTCAGGTTTTAGCTAATTTTTATTTGTAGTAATTAACACTCTAATTGTTTTAGAAGTAAGTGTAAAAGCAAAAATAATATTGAATTGAGATAAATTCTTTTCCGTTGTACTTATAATAGAGTTGATAGATGTGTTTAGTTTTATTATGTTTATTTATATCATCCATTCTTTAGTTTTTATAAATTTGAAGAGCTTTCTATTTCGCATTAAATATGAAACAATTAGGTTATTATAGGAGCTTCAATTATTTTCAATGTATTTCTCCTCGTCGTATTAATATTTAGGGCTACAAATTCTATGCTTTTAAATAGGATTTGATAATTATTCCGGATTTTATTCAGTTGTTATGGCGTGAATAAGATATTGGTAATAATAGCTTTATTCTCAATTTGATGTTTTAGTTTCTTCTGTAAAAACGGTCTTTTCCTTTGAAGCAGGTTCCTCTTTTTGCCATGACAAAAAAAAAAAAAAAAAAAATTCTGCCAATGAACTTTTTTGTATTAACTGAAAAACTGGCAATCTGTGCCTGGCACATGTAAAAAGCACTTGTTGAGTGTCGATCAGGCCATACAGCATTGACTGACAAACTGGCACAGGACAAGAATATGAGGGATCGGACTCACTACTACTTCTACTTCTTCTTCTGTATTTTGTGCTCTTTCAGAGCGTGGATGATCATGGCTCTCCACAACTTCCTATACATTGTAGCTCTTAGTAACCTTTGTCTTTTTACCATCCCTCCCAATCGGCATTCCACCATCCATTCACCCAATTATGTCAAATATGTCACCTGCTGCCCTCCTGTTCCTTTCGTCTTCCTTTTGCCCTGTGGGTAACGAATTCTCTAAGCCCTCTTTTCTCATTATGTATCCAGCTGCCTCTCTCTGGTTCTGAGTTTTGTGTCTGTTTTGTTTCTATTTTCCTTAAGACTTCTTCGTTGCCTGCCCGCTCTGTATTCTCATCATCCTTCTGTAGAACCCCATCTCTGTTGCCGCTTGTCTTCTCTTCATCTCTAGAGAAATTATCCAGAATTCACTGCCATATAAGAGTCATGATTTTGCGGCTCTCTTTTCTTTACTTAGTTTTTTTTTGGGGGGGGCACTTCTGCTATTCCAATGTGCAACAGAATTTGGTGTCACATCCACTGTTTAAAGACTACCGAGATATCTAAACTGTGTACTTGCTTGATATCTCAATATTCTTTATTACTAGTCTTGATATTAACATTGATATTACATAACAGTTCAGTACTCATTTCTAGTGAAGTTTTCCTGTTTCTTAATACTTTGCTTATTTTCTTGAAGTCACCCTCTGCTATTCCTATGCGCGTTCGGGTTCCAGGTCCACTCTTACTTGTTATGGTCCCAGCTATTAATAAATAGCGAACCCCCAAACTGGGGTCAAACATGAAAATATAAAAATACATTTAAAAAAAATTACAGCAATACATTTGAATAATAAAAAGAAAAAAAAAGGATCAGCAAGACATTTATGGAAACGATAATTACCAAAGGTCATAAGAAAATAAAATTTCGGCATTAATTGACGATATAGCGTCACATCTCTAAGAATTGGTAAAGAAATGTGTCATTTATATATATCTCTCTCTGTGTCTTATGAGTCTCTTCTCTTTTTATCTCTCTCTCGTGTCCCTTCTCTCTCTGCCTCTCTCATCATGTGTCCTTATATATATATATATATATATATATATATATATATATATATATATATATATATACACATATATAATTATTTATTTAAAAATATGATTCCATCGCTACATAAGAGTTCTCATGTTACAAAACAAGAGCCCAAAACTTCAATATAATTATTTGAATTAAATTGAATTAAAGTACGAAGCTCTGTTCCATCTTCAAGCGAATTCTTTTTTTTTTTAATTCAATTTAATTCAAATGATTATATTGAAGTTTTCGGCTCTTGTTTTGAAACATGAGAACTCTTATGTAGCGATGGAATCATATTTTTAAATAAAGAATTATATTTATGCTCTACTTTTGTATCGAGCACTATTTTTAAAAAATAATAACAAAAATACTAAAGAACTTTGGATTATTTACCTAACGAGTTCTTTCCTATTTTCTATATATTTTACACACACACAAACACACACACACACACACACACACACACACACATATATATATATATATATATATATATATATATATATATATATATATATATATCCCTTCTATATCCTTCTGTATCCTTTTCTGTAGGAATATAGGTACGTAGAAGACTGGTTCGCCCTTCACCAATGTAGCCAGTTAAATACACTTTATTGCTATGAGCTTGTCAACAAACATTTTTGGGATTATTCCAAAATTAAACTTATTTCCAATTGCATCAAATGCTAATTAAATAGGAAGCTTAATGATGACAATCATTGTAAACACGTAAATTCTCGGAGTGAGAGTGCAGAGAAAAAATTACAAATAAATGAAAAAGAAACGGACATCTATAATAATATTTAAAAATATAAAATAAAATTAAAATAATGTGAACGACAAAACAAAAAAAAATTGATGCTGATGATGACGTGGATCGAACATGTGAAAAATTGACGATTTTTTTTTTAGAAAATGGAAACAAAAAGGAAACTAATACATAACATCAGGAAGATATAGTTGAGGTTTCTAGGGTTTATAATGAGGAAGGACGGCTTGGAAAATCCAATACTCACGGGACAGATAGAGGGCAAGAGGTACAGAGGAAGACAAAGCATGACATCATGAGCTTGTATGTCTGTACAAGGCCTGGGAGTGGGGGGGAATAGCAGAAGGACACGGTTTATTAAGAGCTATAAAGGACATGAAGTTGGGGAATGATGGCCTATGTTCTGAAGAAACACGGCACATATTGAAAAAGTATTGAAATATTCTTAATTTCCACTTTCCTTATGTCTCTACCCACTGTCTCTACCCATATTCCGTTAATTTCAGTTTCGCTTTAAGTCTGGCGGCAGACTGAAGAGCAATTTTTTTTTTTTAGTTAAAATTAGTTGGAACAAGCACATTTCAGCAATAATTCCATGTGTTGTGCATTGAAAATCGGGAAGAAAGGGATTGTCAGTGGTCAGGAATTAATATAAAGCGATTATTATACGTATAATGGCGATTAATTGCTTATGAGTTTACTATCGTTAAAAGCCGAATGAAACATTTCTGACGGTATTACTGTGTGCATCAAACACATTATTGCTGATAATTTGAAAATTGAAATTTTCTTTTGATGAAGCTAAGCATTTTGAGATGTAAACTTTTCTTTTTCTGTTTCTTTTTTGTTTCTTTTTTTGTTTCTTTTTTGTTTCTTTTTTTGTTTCTCGTTTGTTTCTTTTTTCGTTTATTTCTTGTTTCTTTTTTGTTTCTCGTTTGTTACTTTTTTTTTTGTTAACATAATACTGTGACTGGTCGACCACGCTAACAAAATATTTTTAGTAGCAGTTAGACAAAATATGTAGCAATAGTCAAAATTCTGATGCTATGGGCATTTTTTCTCAATATGTCTAGTGCTTGCAAAGTCCAACATCCAGATACAACTTCCCTGCGTGTTCTGCTACCTCCCTTTACACCACATTGAGGATATATATATATATATATATATATATATATATATATATATATATATTTTCTCTCATATATATAAAGTTTGTTAAATTTTGGAATATAATAATTGATTTTTTTTTTTTTTTTTTTTTTTTTTTAGGGAAAACGATATCTTAGACTATGATAGCAACGTCTCCCAAGTTTTGCCAAAGAAGTGGATCATGCATGAATTTAAAATTTTTTTTTCCAACATTCATTTCTAATACTGATAGTTTGGCCGGTGAGCTATTTGATGCATCTGCAGTGATAGTGTCAAAATATAACAGAAGGAAGTGTCTGCGTTCGCGCATCTGTAGAAAGAAATGTCTAATCTGGAGAAAGGATATTACCACGTGATCCGTGTGTGAGTTTGTTTGCGTGACTGTTCATATATACATATAGTGTTGTTGCGGGTAAAGGATTTCAATGTGGCTGTCGAAGATTCCACATCATCCAGACTTGCATACCGCGGCCGAGAAATGAAAAAAATAACTAGTGTGTCTTATCTGTGAGTTGGTGAATGTATGAGGAGAATTAGAAGTGGGAGGGTCTGCGGGGCTGTCGAAAGATTCTATGTAACTCAGTCTAAGATCCCACAGCAGGAAGTACACGTCTGCCCACCGAATAAAGTAACATTCTCTACCGTAATTAGCGAGGAATCTCTCTCACTCTACTTCTTTCTCTTTCTCTCTACTTGTTTCTCTCTCTACTTCGTTGTCTTTCTCTTTGTCTTTCTACTTTGGCTTTCTCTCTCTCTCTCTCTCTCTCTCTCTCTCTCTGCTTTTTTGTCTTTATCTCTTTGTCTTTCTCTTTCTCTACTTTTTGTGTCTCTCTTTCTGTCTATTTTTCTCTCTCTCTTCACTTCTAATTTTTTTTTTCTCCGTTTCTCTACTTCTCACTCTCCTCCCACTTATTTCCCCCACTCTCTCTCTCCTTCCCCACTTATTTCCTTCTCCCTCTCTCACTTACTTTACTTATTCCCTCTTTCTCTCTCATTTCACTTTTTCCTTCCCTCTGTCATTTTTCTTCTTTCTTTCTCACTTCTTCACTTCTTTACTTCTATTTGTCGCCCTTCATTTATTTCTTTTTCTCTTCTTCACTGCTTTTTTTTCTCTCTCTCTCTCTTTCTCCCTCTCTCTCTCTCTCTCTTTCGTCCACGTTTCCTTTTTTCTCTCACACTCTCACCAACGTCTCTTTTCTCTCACTCTCTCTTTCTCTCATCCACTTCTTTTTCTCTCTCCTACTTCTTTCTTTTTCTCTCTCTCATTTCAACTCTTTCTCACTTTCCTTCATTTTACGTTTTTCTTTCTTTCTTTCTTTCTTTCTTTCTTTCTTTCTTTCTTTCTTTCTTTCTTTCTTTCTACATCTGTTTTTCTCTTACCACTTCTAATTATTTCAATCTTCCTCTCCACTTTTTATTATCTCTCTCCCTTTTTATTTCTCTTTCTCTTTTTATCTTTATCTATCTCTCATTTTTTTATTATCTCCCTCTATATATCCATCTCTACCTGAGGTAACCCTTCTTTTGACACGAAAGCAATATCAATTGACATCTACCTTGTCTGATAGCTTTGTATTTATTGTATCCGTTCCGGGCTCACGGGTCACGAGGGCGCCCCTTCATGGTGCAATGGTTAGACAGCGGGTCTACTTGATCGTTACTACTGAGTAGTGAGTTTATTCCTCAACTATTTTCTCGATACTTATGTCCTTATGCCAAACTTAGCCAAGTTTCGCATACAGTGACGGTCTTTAAGTTTAATCAACTAAACAGACTATTTAATGTCGGAAAAAGTTGTGGATTTCTTTCCTGGACCAGGAATCAATTTTCAACCTAAACGTAGGCTAGAATTCAGAATGGTGTTTTTTCTCATGGTAGCTTAGATGTGGCACAAGGCCGAAAGTATGGGGCGCCCAGTGAGGATCGAACTCACTACACTGTTGTAATTGTTCTAGCGAGAGAAGTTTGCTAACCATTACAATACATCGAAGTATCCAGGCTAGAGTTTAAAATGCCAATTTTACAAAGAAGGCTAACCCTCC